TTCATGTCTCTTCTACATCAACATGTGTCCCCTCTTCTTCATGTCTCTTCTACATCAACATGTGTCCCCTCTTCCTCATGTCTCTTCTACATCAACATGTGTCCCCTCTTCTTCATGTCTCTTCTACATCAACATGTGTCCCCTCTTCTCCATGTCTCTTCTACATCAACATGTGTCCCCTCTTCTTCATGTCTCTTCTACATCAACATGTGTCCCCTCTTCTCCATGTCTCTTCTACATCAACATGTGTCCCCTCTTCTTCATGTCTCTCCTACATCAACATGTGTCCCCTCTTCTTCATGTCTCTTCTACATCAACATGTGTCCCCTCTTCTTCATGTCTCTTCTACATCAACATGTGTCCCCTCTTCTTCATGTCTCTTCTACATCAACATGTGTCCCCTCTTCTTCATGTCTCTTCTACATCAACATGTGTCCCCTCTGTGGAAAGAGACTCTGAAAGTTTCAGGAACAAAGATTCTCTCTCTTTTTGATCCATTTCTATAAAAACCTGTCTGAAAATGAGCTGATCAGATTTTGGCCACTTTATGATGTCATAACGATGTGTTGTCTTGTGTAACCATTAGCCAATCAGCAACCAAGGTAACCCCCCCCCCCTTATCACCTGAATCTCCTCTAGAGCTCCATTGAGTTCTTTGTAACCAAATGTCTCTCAGAGGGGCGTGGGGAGGGGCTCCTTATTTTCATCTAAAGTAACAGACAGAGAATCAGCACTTTGGAAACAGGGCTGAAACAGAGGGGATTATGGGTAATGCTGCAACGATCTGTTTGGTGTTTCAGCCAATCAGAGACAGGCTCTGGATATATCTGAGCCCTGTGATATACTGATGAAGAAGAGGATGATAGGAGACCTTTCAAACTAAATAAAGGTGTATTCATTAACCCATCAAAATCATTGTAAAAGTCAAAAGGAAGAAATATAAAACACGCAGGAATTTTTGGAAAAAAAGAAACTTTATTTGGAAACATTATGGAGGAGAAACAGAAAAGAAAAACTTGTTTTAGACTTTTTTCATTTCTGAAAATCATTTTTATTTACTATAATACACAGCTGTTTGTAGGTGCTATCAACAGGATGATAACAGTCGATTGATTGATGAGAAAAACTACAGACGAACAGCTTAATCTTTTATTATCTAGCAGCTGCTGCTGAGACCCCCCCCCCCCACTCCCAAAAAAAGAAAAAAAAGAAATCGTAGATCAGGACGCATTTGGCCGCATTCCATTTCCCCCATTCGCTCCCTTCTAGGTGCCCTTCAGTCCAACGTCACCTTAAAATGGGCTTTTGGCTTCGTTCCATTCTGAATATTTATCCCCTTTAACGCTAACCCCTAACCCTCTCATTCACAACTCAAAGAGCGTCCCATTCCAGACACGAGTCTCCTTCAAAGTGTCCTTTTAAAAAGGTCCCTAAATCAGATTTGTTTCGATGTTCAGACAGGACTTTGGCCGCATTCCATTTCGCTTCCATACGACCTTGTCTCTTAAATTAAGATTCAAATAGATGATGCTTTTCTAACCTCTAGAGTGGTTGTAATTGTAAGAAAAAGGGGTTTAAATGTACAATTATTCATATTAAGTTCTTTAAATACCTTGTTTTGTCCGATTTACAATCCAAATATCTCCTTTAGAAGTATTACAACACGAGGAATAATCCAATATTAGTGATTTGGAACCACATTTTACTCCATAGTGTACTGTAGTGGTCAAAATACACAACATTTTAAGCTGATAAAACTACTTTTTTGATGGTTTAAAATGTACTTCATTTATTTGAAATGGAGTGGATTTTAAAAGTAAGTTAAGTAACATAAAAAAAATGCCCTTTTTATGTTACTGTTGTGACTTCGTAGATTCATATTTTATTGATTGATACTTAATTGGTTTGTTTTTTATCCTAAAAGTCAGAATTATTCCTAAAAGTTAATAAAAACGTAGAATCTCAAGAAGACAGAAATTCCCTCGTGACGTTTTCTGGGTTCACATTTCAGTCATCCAATAAAAAAGCTGACCGACTTCAAGGACACAGGAGACACACATCATAAATGGGACGCACCCCGAGTCGACATGATCGTATAATTGGAATCCTCCCGGTCGCCGACGTTCATCGAAAACACTTTGAGTCGTTTTGCTGATCCCGTTTTTAAACAAAAGCTTAACTTTCCTTCCTTCCTTTCCTACTTCCTCACATACACTTAGACACTAGCAGAGCAATGCATTCTGGGTATAACAAACCACTAATCGGATTAATTTTCTTTGCAAGTTACTAAAAGACTGTTCAATTATGAATGAAGGGCTTTTAATCTGGTGATCAGACGGTCACCGTCATTCACTGAGTGCAGATATTCTTATTATTCTATTAAACTGAGAGACATTAAGAAAGTGAGTTTTCATCCATTTTTAACGGGTATTGGTTCAAGAAATTCAGCATTAAAAGGTGTTTTTAGTGAAATATTTCAGACGGCTTGGCAGGAGTCGTTAGTAAAAACCTTTAAGATGTAACCTCAAGGTGTCTGCACTCGTTTAAAAGTGATTAAAAAGACTCTTCTGTGCATCTGGATTAAATATCATTCCATCGATCGCCTGAGATTGAAAATAAATACACATTGAGGTTGTTTTGAAACCATTACATCCTCCAAAAACAATGTTTAATTCACACTGCCTCCCTATAGAAGCGTATGAACGCATGCATGTAGACGACTGACATCAAAGAAGATGGAAGATTGGATCTTTCTGGTGTTTTATTATAAACTTCATCCTCTAACGCTGAATTGTTTTCGTGTGGAGCCCCCCCCGCTGTGTCCTGATTAAAAGACTCAATTAACTGAACACTAATTGAATAGAAGTGTGCCAATTGGAAACCCCACATCCTCTATAGTTAGCTCCAAATTACCAGAGAGAGGAGGAGGAAGAGTTCAGATCCTTTAATCAGGTAAAAGTGCCAAAACCTACACCGTAAGAAAGACTAGATATATATTACTTTAAAAGTAGGATATTTCCCTCTGAAATGTCGCGATAGGTGGCATGAAATACTCAAGTGAAGTAACTCAAAAGTGTACTCGAGTACTTCTCCTATTGCATATAATAAAACCAGCTTTCATCACCATCAGTGGCGCCCCCCACTCTCCCCCCCCCGGAGCGGAGCAAGGCAACGAAACTTAAAATAAGAAGCAGCATTTTACGGCGCTATGCATGGGGCCGCCTTGAGGGGGTTTCCCGACGTGTCGTTGCAGTAAATGAAAGGGTGTTTCATGTTGTCGTTGCTGCGGACCTTCTTAATCTACCTTCTTTGGGGGCCCCCCTTCTGGTCCGGGTCCCAAGCAGTTGCCTGCCTTGCCTGTTTGCAAGAGGCGCCCCTGTCTACTGTGACCATGCTTTAGTGTTATTTCTACTCATACAAAATGACACTTTACTGGAACGGGAAAAGCCAAGAAAAGGCCTTGTTTTAATTGAAATTAATCAGACATTGAAACTATGGATTTGTGTCAAATAAAGCGTCACAGATTCACATTTTTAGGTAAGAAGTCGTGAATTGTTTGGTGGGATGTGTTTATCCAGATGGACAGAAGAGTGTTTGAAGTTTCTGTAAAACATATTTGTAATCTTTTAGAAGGACGATACTACTTAGAAATAAAGTAAATGAGGACCAGGCGAACAAAAGCGAACAAAGTCAGTGAATTAAAGTTAATCTCAACTCTAACGATTTCTCTCTCTCAGCCTCAAAGTGTCATCGATGAAGAAAACGACGAGGGATTTTCTTTCTCTTTCAGATGAGCCAGAGGATTAAAACTCACACACACACACATTCAGACACTCACACACACATTCAGACACTCACACACACACAAAGAAATATGAGTATAGCTTCTGACAGATTATACAGTCCAGTACCCCGCGGTATTTCACTAAATCAGTCTGCTGCTGATATATTTATATATATATTTATACTTATATATACTTCTTTCCTCTATTTAGGGAAAACTATTCGACATATAACCAAAAATATGATATTAAAGAGTGGATTTCTTGCATGACGGAGAAGAAACAAATGCAATAAAAACTCCTCGTGAGAGCTTCTCTGTGGAAATGTTACCCTTAAACCAAAACCAAAAGATTCAGATAAAATACATCTGAGTTTTTCCTTTTTTTATATATATCTCACTAAGTGGCAAAAAACAGAGACATGCACATTTTTAGTTTCCAACAAAGCAACAGAAGGTAGAAATGAAGACGATTAGAGCGTCAAACACGGGAAGACGCCTCGGAAAAGATCCAGAATGCATTGCGACGTAGTGGTTTCCTCGTTGAGAGTTCGGCGCTCGAAGGAGACGAGAGCGTTAGCTGGAGGTGAAGTCCGTTAAGTCTTTCGTACGGAGTGTAACGAGTTTCTTAAATTCCCTCCTGATCCCCTCTTCCCTCGAAAGAGAAGGAACACACACACACACACACACACCACACACACACACACACACACACACACACACACACACACACACACACACACACACACACACACACACACACACACACACACACCACACACACACACACACACACACACACACACACACACACACACACACACACACACACACACACACCACACACACACACACACAGACACACACACACACACACACACACACACACACACACACACACACACACACACACACACACACACACGAGTGGGACTTTAGACAGAAATCGTGCATGTGCTGTTATGTCCGTTAAGAGGGTCAAAGTTCACGAAGAAGGGGGGAGGGATTATTCCGTTTTTCTAGTATTTAAACCCCCAAAATAATCCACAACTCGTTATGTTTTCAGTTCACAAATCCAACTGGTTGTTTTGACGTTTTATCCGCCGACTGGTTTTCGGCGTTGGAAGAGTTTCCTGAGCCGAAGTGTCTGTAAGTTAGTCGGTCAAATATCGAATGAGTCAGCGTTCATTGAGTTGCAGTCGTTAAGTTTTAACTTCCCTTTTCTGTTGTTTGGGGGGGGGGGGGTTTGCTCAGTGTGCTATTCCATCAGGGTGAAGGTAAAAGAGGGGGAACCTGTATTAGGAAGACCGTGCTAAAGAGTTGTCTCTATGTGCCGAGTCTCGTAAAAGGGTCGAAAAAATGAGTTCCAAAAATAAACAAAACGAAGGTGACGTCCGATTGTCTCGAATCCGGGATTTAACAGATCTCACGGATTAGTTTTAATCCAACAAACGGCCTCTCAAAGCTCATTCACCTCCATGACAAACAGTTAATGGACTGCGTTTCCCAGCATGCTCTCTGTTAGATGAGCGCGTCCAAAAAAGGAAAAAAAACGTCCGATCGTCTCTAATCTGGAAGTTTAACACACCTCACAGATGACGTTTTAATCCAACAAACGGTCCATGTGTCTCGTTCACCTCGATGACAAACAGACGCAACAATTGGACTGCAATTCCCAGCATGCCTTCTGTTAGATGAGGGCGTCCAAAAAACAAAAAAAACGTGACGTCCGGTCGTCTCTAAAACCTCACAGATGACTTTTAAATCCAACAAACGGTCCATGTGTCTCGTTCACCTCCTTGGCAGACAGACAAACTAACGGACTGCGTTTCCCAGCATGCTCTCTGTTACATGAGCGCGTCGGGGTGCAGCGTGTGCTGGATCTGCTGCGGCTGCATGGGGGGAGGCAGCTGCAGAGGAAGAAGAGCCTCCACCATGTTGTGGCAGTGATGAGGAGGAGGCGTTCCTTCGTTGCTGGAACTTTCCGCCATTTCTCCGCCGTGGAAGAAGTACTCGCTCTGCACGATGAACGCCTCGATGACCGCCTGGTTCAGCTTCGTGGTGGAGAGCGTCTCCTTGTTCTCGAAGTCGGGGCGCATCAGAGTCGGCCAGAAACAGATGGAGAGGTTGTCCGCCGTCATGAGGGTGCACTTACTGTGCTGGCTCACCCTGTGGGGGGGGGGGGGGGGGGGGGAAAGGGGAAGGGAAGGAAATGTTGACAAAATTATAATAATAATAACAATATTTTTAAATAGCGCATTTCCACTACAGGGTTTTGGCTCGGCTCGCACTTTTTTTCTTTCCCACTAGCGGTGGTACCGGCTCTCTTTTTTAGAACCACCTCAGTCGAGGTACAAGAGAGCTGAAAATATGCTAAGCTAGTGACGTAAAACACCGACCGCTGATTGGTCCGAGAGTATCGGCATTGCGCAAGACGGTCCCCAAGCGCCATTTTTAAAACAGACGAGCTACCGTCAGCAAGTATTTCTAATTCCAACAAAGTATTTCTAATTTCAACAAAGTATTTCAACAAAGTATTTCTAATTTAAACAAAGTATTTCTAATTCCAACAAAGTATTTCTAATTTCAACAAAGTATTTCAACAAAGTATTTCAACAAAGTATTTCTAATTTAAACAAAGTATTTCTAATTTCAACAAAGTATTTCTAATTTCATTAGAGATGTAAAAGGTCTGTGTAATAAGAACAACACCAAAGTACTCTGTTTTCCCAAGGATGTGGTCTCTGACTTGGCTGAGAAGATCCTGCATATTGGGGCTGAACATCCGACTGTGAAGAATGTGGTACTGCACATTGGAACAAATGATGTTGTGAAACAACAGTCAGAAGTGCTGAAAGAAGACTTTAAATGTTTGTTGGAAACTGCCAGCTCTCTAAATGCAGAGGTGTTCATCAGTGGCCCTCTACCGCCAGTCAGAAGAGGAGTGGAGAGATTCAGCAGATTGTTTGCACTGAACACCTGGCTTTCAACGGCCTGTACTGACCATTCTGTTCATTTTATTGACAATTTTAACTTTTTCTGGGATCGCAGACATCTTTTCAAGGCAAATGGAGTTTGCCTGAACAAGTCAGGAGTGAAATTGTTTATCTCTAACATATTCAACTGCCTGCGTCATCAATCTGTTCCCTCTGCCAAGGACAAGCGGCAAGAGGAATCAAAACACGAGAAAGACACAACACATCACGCAGAAAACCCTGAAGAATTATCACTGCACCCGCCTGAGGAATGTTCTGATTATGGGAGACATATGAGACACATGGAGGAGTCTCCACTGCCCCCCCCCCCTGTCAACGCCTTTGAGGATACTCCGTTCACCCTTTCACCCTCGCCCACCCTCCTGGAGATCGATGAACACACAAAGGAGATACAGAGGGTTGGCACCGATTCCTTCCTGGAGTTCAAAGACCAAACGAAGGCGATACGCAGGGCTGGCACCATGTCCTTTACCCCCGCTCCTCAACGACGCCCACCAAAATCACCGCGGAGACGCGCACCATCTCCCCCGTCCTCATCACCGCGCCTACGTCAACCACCTCCCCCCCCTGGCAGCATGTCCTCTACCCCCGCACCATCTAGCCCGTCTCCATCACCGTGCCTACGTCGACCACCTCCCCTCCCTTCGAGGGGGCATCTGCAGTCTCCGAAGCCTGATAAGGATGTGTGTGTACAAAACACAACAAACTCTTACTGATATGTGATGGGTCCAGGCTCAAGGGCGTATGGCACTCTCAACTCTTTCCAGGACATGTCGGGGCCCTGCCTGCCAGTAGCTTTGCCGATATCTGTGTTGATAGGTAATAGATTAAGAGCGGTGAATCATAGAAACAGGAAGCGCTCAAACGTTTGTGTGAGTGTATCTAATTTAGCAGTGATTCCATGTCAGCCACAGCTTGTTACAAAAAACATGACTGATAGTGTGTTTAACAAACTTAAACTAGCTTTATTAAATGTCAGGTCTCTGGCAGGAAAAACATTTTTAATCAATGATTTTATCACTGAGCACAATCTCGATTTTATGTTTTTAACAGAAACTTGGATTGAACAAAATAACAGTGCAGCTGTTCTTATCGAATCAACCCCTCCCAACTTTAGTTTTATGAGTCAGGAAAGAATGCATAAGAAAGGGGGTGGAGTTGCTATTCTGTTCAATGATTCCCTTCAATGCAGGAAGACATCGTATGGAAACTTTGATTCTTTTGAATATGTGGCCCTTCGGCTGAAATGCTCCTCTCGAGCTCTGTTCCTAAATATCTATAGACCACCCAAATACTGTGCAAGCTTTTTTGATGACTTTACTGAACTGCTGTCTATAGTGTGTATTGACTTTGACTGTCTGGTCATTGTTGGTGATTTTAACATCCATGTTGACAACCCCCAGGACAGAGGGGCTAAAGAACTGTTTTGTGTTCTTGATAGCTATGGACTGACTCAGCATGTGACGGAGCCCACGCACAATAAGGGGCACACTCTGGACTTAATTATCTCAAAGGGTCTGAATATCTCTAAGGTTGTGGTGACTGATGTTGCACTCTCTGACCATTCCTGTGTTTTCTTTGAGAGCTCTATTTCTGTTCACAAAAATGTTCAAAAAGAGGTAACCACAAAGCGATATTTAACTGAAAATACTAGGGAAATGTTTACTCAGAATTTCTCTTCCACACTTGCCCCTGCTAACATCTCAGTAAATGAGCTAGTAGATCATTTTAATTCAAAAATTAAAAATGTTATAGATGCCATTGCTCCAACTAAGGTAAAGGAAGTGTCTGGCAAGAAAATATCTCCATGGAGAAAGGCCATGACCGTGAAAACAGAAAAAAGAGAATGTCGAAAAGCTGAACGCAGGTGGCGAAAAACAAATCTCCAGGTTCACTTTGAAATCTATAAAGAGAGACTTGGCCTTTATAATTTGGAATTGAAAAACGCACGACAATCGTTCTTCTCTGACATCATTATCAAAAACAAAAACAATGCACGTGCCTTGTTTGCTACCGTCGACAGACTAACTAACCCCCCAGTGTCAGTAGCCTCTGAATTTCTATCCACCAGGGCGTGCAATGATTTTGCCTTCTTCATTGACAAAATTCAGAAAATCAGACAAGCAGTCAGTGCCTCTGCATCAGGAACAGCAAATGTGTTGTCCCTATCTCCACTTAACATCAATTCAGACATCATGACACAATTCCATCAGATTAATGATAAAAACCTAGAGGACATTATTCAACTTCTGAAATCCTCCTCTTGCTGCCTTGATATTATTCCAACAGGATTTTTCAAAGATGTTTTGCCTTGCATGGCCTCAGATCTACTTCATATAGTAAACAAATCTCTTCACTCAGGTATTTTTCCACAGGCCCTGAAAACTGCAGTCATTAAACCGCTCTTAAAAAAGAATAATCTAGATGCTTCAGTAATGAACAATTACAGGCCCATATCAAACCTCCCATTTCTAGGTAAAATCATTGAAAAAGTTGTTTTTCAACAGTTGAGTAATTTCTTGCATTTAAATAACTGTTTCGATGTGTTCCAGTCAGGCTTTCGTCCAAATCACAGCACTGACACTGCTCTTGTAAAGGTCTTTAATGACATCCACTTAAACACAGACAGTGGCAGAACTTCAGTGTTAGTATTATTAGATCTCAGTGCTGCGTTTGACACTGTTGACCACAGCATATTACTAGACCGACTGGAGAACTGGGTGGGACTTTCGGAAACAGTTCTGAATTGGTTTGAATCCTACTTAAAGGACAGAAACAACTTTGTTTCTATAGGTAAATACACATCTGAGTTGACAAATATGACATGTGGGGTTCCTCAAGGCTCCATCTTGGGGCCTCTTCTCTTTAACATCTACATGCTACCACTGGCTCAGATAATGAAGAACAACAAAATAAGTTACCATAGCTATGCAGATGACACACAAATTTACGTAACAATTTCACCAGGAGACTATGCTCCAATTCAAACACTGAGTAAGTGCATTGAACAAATCAATGACTGGATGTGTCAGAACTTTCTCCAATTAAACAAAGATAAAACTGAGGTAATGGTTTTTGGAGCCAAGGCAGAACGTATAAAAGTTAGCGCTGAGCTTCAGTGTGCAATGTTCAAAACAACAGATAAAGCCAGAAATCTAGGTGTAGTCATGGACTCTGACCTGAGTTTCAACAGTCACATTAAAACAGTTACTAAATCAGCCTACTATCACCTAAAGAATATATCTAGGATTAAAAGACTAATGTCACAGCAGGATTTGGAAAAACTTGTCCATGCTTTTATCTTCAGTAGACTGGACTACTGCAATGGTGTCTTCACAGGTCTCACTAAAAAATCTATTAGGAAGCTGCAGCTGATTCAGAACGCTGCTGCTCGAGTCCTCACTAACACTAAGAAAGTGGATCATTCCTGTTCTGAAGTCTTTACACTGGCTTCCTGTGTGTCAAAGAATAGATTTCTAAATACTGCTGCTGGTTTATAAAGCACTGAATGGTTTAGGCCCAAAATACATTTCTGACCTCCTGCTAAATGATGAACCATCCAGATCTCTCAGGTCTTCAGGGACTGGTCAGCTTTCTGTCCCCAGAGTCAGAACTAAACATGGTAAAGCAGCGTTCAGTTATTATGCTCCAAATATCTGGAACAAACTCCCAGAAACCTGCAGGTCCGCTGCAACTCTGACTACTTTTAAATCCAGCAAGAAGACTTTTCTTTTTGTCGCTGCTTTTAATTGAACTATTCATATCTTAGACTGCACTGTAACTTTTATCCATGTACTTTTTTCTTTTAATGTTTAATTGCACTGTAACTTTTATCCATGTATTTTTTCTTTTAATGTTTATTTTATTATCTTTTCTTTTTAATGACTGATTTTAAATGCCATTTTCTTAATCTCTTTCATTTTTTGTAAAGCACTTTGAATTGCCTTGTGTTGAAAAGTGCTATATAAATAAACTTGCCTTGCCTTGCCTTGCCTTGCCTTGCCTTCAACAAAGTATTTCTAATTTCAACAAAGTATTCCAACAAAGTATTTCTAATTTAAACTTCCAACAAAGTATTTCTAATTCCAACAAAGTATTTCTAATTTCAACAAAGTATTTCAACAAAGTATTTCTAATTTAAACAAAATATTTCTAATTCCAACAAAGTATTTC